CTCGAAACCTCTAAAATTTCTCAAAAAACGTGGATATTAGCCTTCAATTTTGGAATTTTTTGACTTTTTTTGCCCAGAAATAAAAATTGCCGAAATGTTTACCATTATCCCTAATACCCTCCAGGAGTCCAATTGGGTGTGTGGAACCATTTAATTTGCTTTTAAACGGCCAATTTATCGGTTTACATTTTGCACCAATTTACCGATTTACAACAGCCAATTTAATTAACCTGCACCGAACTCGACTTGAACAGAAATTGACCCAAACCCATTTTAAACTGTCAAAACCCAAATTTAACCCGACTTGTTACTAACCTGACCTGAATTCAACCCGACCCATTCCTAACCCGACCTGAATTTAACCCAACTTGTTACTAACCTAACCCGAAATGAACCCAACTTGTTATTAACCTGACCCAAATTTAACCCGACTTGTTATTGACCCGGCTCGAATTTTACCAAACCTATTACTAACATAACCCAAAAATTCAACTCAATCTGTTACTAACCCGACTTGAAATTAACACGACTTGTTATTGACCCGACCTAAATTCAACCCAAATTGTTCCTGACCCGATTTTAAATCACCTTAAATGCAATTTAGACCACCTTATTATTGTTGATCAAAGCATTTTGTCTTGGGAGACCAAGTCGGTCCAGGCTAGCAAAAGAAAGGAGCATCATCCTCAAATTTAAGAGTTAAATATAGTACTTCGTATATACTTGTTGTATAGTCAAAGGAGAAAATTATCTTCCTAAATTATAGATTATAGTTCCCTAGTATATTTCCATATATATTATATTCAAAGGAAATAATTAGCTTGATAAAAATGATGATTATCTATTTATAGTTAGTTGAACCCGAATATGATCTGACTTAGAAATGACCCGACCTGATTGTAACCTGCAAATTGTTGAATTGAACATAACCCGAATTGAATCCGTGAATGAACCGACTTGGAAATGACCCAATAAGATTATAACCCTCAAATTATTGACTTGAACCGAACCCGATTTGAACCCGAGAATGACCCGACCTGATTATAATCCGCAAACTATTGACTTGAACCGAACCCGACTCAAACCCGAGAATGACCCGACCTTATTCTAACCCGCAAATTATTGACTTGAACTAAACCCGACTCGAACCCAAGAATTACCCTAACCCGTGAAAATCCGAATTAAACCCGACCTATTGTTTACCCGACCCGAATGTAACCCGACTTATTATTAACCCGGCCTAAATCCGACCCAAACCCGATAAGAAGTATGACCCGACTCAAGCATGACCCAACCCAAACCCGACCCGCATAGGTTATGAAATTAATCAGAATTGATCCAACCCGAGTTGACCCGACACACTCTTACCCGACCCAAACCCTACCCGGTTACCCGAATTGACAGCTCTAGCTGTAATATATGCTTTTGGACTGATTTCATGAATAAGCTCGAAAAAGTTGTGTATTGTCAAAAATTAAAGGCTATAATCTACGCTTTTGGACCGATTTTGTGATTATTATTTTCCAAAATTGAAGTGAGTATGGGGGATGGTGTTTTGTGATGTCATAAAAATTGGTTTGGAACCATATTAAGGTTATTATTGAGTCTATGAAGTATAATGTCTCAAGAAAGAGTTTGGTCATTGAGAGTAGTGTCATAGCTTATCTTAGGGCCAAGGTAAAGCAACACAAAAGGCCAAGACAAGACAAAATAACAAAAGGCAAGAAATCTTAAAACATGATAACGAGGAGTGGGCCAATGCATAATAAGATGGTTCCAGACACATGCAGGCCTCCTGAGAGCCTTTTTGTCCCATTCTCAACCATACTTGAGCTCTATTTGTGCACTTGAGGATCCATACATACGAGTCTTCTAAACCATTGCTGTTCAGACATTTTTTAACCTCCTAGATCGCAGTAAATGGTTTTAAGTAACTCCCATTTAGACTTAAGGAGTCATAACAAAACACACACTCATCACTATGTCTTAACATGCGGCAGAGAAACAAGGATGAAGTTCTGCAACTGTACATCCCTGTTAACTTAAGTCAACCTTGCATATGTAGCATAGATCAGTCCCCCCATTAACCCATTCTTCACCAGAATTAGGGACAAGTAGGGAAAATTTGACTTAGTTTTCTGGTCTAACATAAATTAGTTCCCATGGAGAAGAACCGCCAATGCGCCATAACAGAACTTAGTTAGGAGTCCGTTTTACGAAAAGCACCTGGCTTTACATGGTTATATGATTACAATGGAAACATGTTTATGAGAAATGCAATATGTTATGCAGAACAATTTTCACAGACCAATAACTCATTATTGAGTTCTATCAAATATTAGCACTACATGAATAGTTTCCAAGATAAACAGATATTGTAACACCATGAACCTCCTTTTTTTTGGATTTTGCTTTTTCATTAATTTGCTCAATATGCCACAAATAATTTCAAAAACCTAGGGCAAAAGTTGTAATCAATATAAGACAACCATAAAACTTTGGATACAAAACAAGAAAATTAGCGTTCTCATTGCTTTACAAACATTTCTGTTCTATCATGCCTTGCTAAGGTCAATCCCTGCCTTCTTAGCAACAGCGTCCAATCCATTTTTCTCGATAGTCTTCAAAGCCTTGGTAGATAACCTAAGTTTGAGAAACCTTTTACCAGCTTCCCACCAGACTCTTTTGTATTGCAGGTTCACAAACTGCAATCTCTTTGTTTTGTGGTTGGAGTGAGAAACCCTGTTTGCCTTGTTTGATTTCTTCCCGGTGAATGGACATACTCGGCCTGACAAGCAATCAACTCATAAACTAAATAACCTCAATTTAGGTACAAAGAGTCACAAATATTAGATACTTCAAAATTCAACAGCCAATGTAAAGATAAAACGATATTGAAACCGGGAATGAATAAGCAATTGATCTTTGATCAACAATTGTTCAGCTTCATATACCATACAGTTTCATGGACTCATATACTACTACCTCTGCCACAGCCATTTACGGACAGTTTTGTTGCCGACAATGAATGATTGCAATAACAGTAATTATACTTTGTATATGTAACTTTGTTAAGATAAGTTCCATCTCAATGCCCATAGTAATGCATTTCATGAGTGAAAATCCATGAAGAGAAAGGGATACATTGGGGTGGACAAGTAATACTATAGACATTGGCATAACATTTAAATAACTTAGTTACAAAAATATATGCTCTGTACAATTTTATTATCATTTCCACCAGCTATTGCCTCGTACCTAGCTGGACATTGATGCTTTAGCTTTCCACAGTAACTGATTTCAGACATAGCTGAACAATAACATTTTGTAATTTATGACCAATTTTACAAGAGATAAGGAAAAACGAACAGAGTAGTTTCATAGGCTAGACAAATCAAGTTCTGAGAGAAAAAGTTCCCATTATTAAATTAGACATTAGTCTCCATTTCTCTCCAATATCAAAATTCTGCAATGTTAATGCCTCGGCAAAGATTACAATAACAAGTAGAGACTCGAGCAACAGAAGGGGGGCATAGGAAGATATAGAACAAAAGAATCTTTACTTCTATCAGGTCTTTATGGGGCGAATCTACAAAGGTTTAAAGTTAAAACTCACTCCTTCCTAGTTTTCTGGGGCAGCTAAATTTCAATTGACATCATCCATTACATATTCCTACTAGCAAAGATGTAACAGGTTCCATACTGTTCATCCAACAACACTGCTGAAACTCGAAAGATATCAAAATCTTTCCTCTTGTTCTCCAATACAACAATACTCAAACAGATAACGGCGATACAACAATACTGGAGCAAATATCTATACAACAATATGAAGTTATCCAAACATAATTTATGTGCAAAACGTTTATCACAATCTGATGGTAAAGCTAATGTTATGGTAGAGCAATAGCATCAGACCATGATCAAAAACATGTTCAACCCACAATAATTGGCGAAAACCAAGAACACCCCACCTTTACTTGAGCTACTTAAAGCCTTACCCAAAAATCTTCAACTTACAAAAATAATATCCTTAAACTCCATTCTTTACAGCAAAATTGAAGATAATGCTCTTAATTTCAGCTCTTTTTTGCAGCAAATTAACAAATGCTAAATATTCCACAGCTATAAAATCAAGCAGACACTATGATAAAGAAAATGCAACAGATTGACACACAAATTAACCAGAAACCCAAAAGAATCCTAAGAAAAAAAAAAAAAAGCAACAAAACTCAGAAAAATTGAAAACCCACAAAGCTAAAGCCATAATTAATTCAAAAAACAGAGAATTTATCACAAATTGAGAAAAGGGTTCTTACGAGCAACAGGTTGAAGCGAGGGTTTGAAAGGAGCAGAAATGGGTTTGTTAATGGTGGTGAGAAATGGAGATTGAGAAATTTGAATGCCATTCAATTGGGAAGTGAGAAACCCTAGCTCAGAAACAGTTGATTTGGGTTTCAATGAGCATGAGAATTGGGGTTTGCGGAAGTACACGTTGGTTGGGTTGCTTATCAACATTCCTGAAGCTGCTGCCATCTTTCTCTCTCCTGTAAAACTTTCAGTGTCTCGTTATCTGTTTTTAGAAGGTTGGAAATTGAGATAGGTGGATGATGTTCAAGTGTAAAACTGCTCTGTTTCGGTCGTTTCCATCTAGTTAAGGGAGGGTAGCACCGTAACTCCCCTCGTTTTTTAAATACTTGCAACAGTTGTGTCTTTCGGCCTCTAAACACTTTATAATGTACTTGTCTTAATGTCACTTGCACTAATTTATACTAACCCCATTGGAAAAGAAATTCACATTACATATAATATAGTCATTTTATAGATATTACTCGCTAGTCTTTTAGAAACTACACACAAACACAAGTGTTTCATGTATTTAGGGACAGAGATTGTAGATAAACACGTGGATTTACCAAATTGGTGTATAGAATTTCTGTTTTATAATTCTCTCATAGTATTTATATACGTAGTACATTAAGAGTGAGTTTGTTCGTTTCAAAAAAAAAAAAAAAAAAAAAAAAAAAAAAAAACACTTTAGTTTTGTACCCTAAAGAACATTGTAATATGTCTACCTCCTCTTCCGTCTTTTTTAACATAGATCACAATCCTCCTTGTTCTTCAAATTACCTCCATTTTCTCCTTTCCCTTCTAATGAACTACTTTCGCTTTCTTCAGATTGCATCTACACCCATATCCCCACCTTGCAATCGATGCAAAACTACCACGATTAGGTTGGGTAAATACTTCCTTTTAAAAGAGATGAAGAGAGTTCACAAGAGATATCAAGGAAGAAAAAAAATACTCCATTAAAGAAGAGAAAGCGAGAAAAACCTTTTGACTACACTTGCAAATTTCCCTTCAAAATTTGATCCATACAGGCCGTGAACAATACTTGTCCAGGAATTCAGTTTCAGCAAAGAACAAGCTCACCTGTTAGCCACTTTTACTTTTATCATAAAATTGCTCCTACAGAAACTGAGTAGCATTCACTCATTCGACAAATCAATATAAATTGGAGGGCGAAAACAGAGAAAGGGAAAGGAACAAAGGACTGCTAAAGAGGACAGTAAAATAGAAGTTACCAATACACTAAACTCATCATAACTAGTACTTGTATATTAGAGCGCCAGGAATCCATTGTTGGTATACAGGTTAATGGGTAAGCAGATTCTGTTAACAGCATTGGCAAAAAATATATGAGCACATTGCTGAAACATGAATGCTCATAACAATGGCCATACATCCTTGACGCCTTCTGTTGTAAAAGAAAATTTTCTTCATAAGTTCTTTCTGGAGGGTTGGAGAACTAATCAACTAAGATAAATACAGGGGATTTCAAAACGATCCCTGAATCATACTGCATGCTGAGACAGAACAGGTGTCAGAAACCTCACAGTTTCAAATACAGAATTCTCCTGCTGATGGCCAACTTAAGACTACAATTCTACCATTCCGTATATTGAACCATATTTTCACTTTGGAAACCTTTCTCGGTAGGCCTTCAGTGATACATATTCCACTGTCACGATACGGTTATCAAAGGCACGTCCATGCAAACAATGTGCTGCCACACATGAAGCTTCTGTCCTCTTAAACTCCACCAATACACAACCATCCTCAAACAAGTTATTACCCCTATCACAAGGATATTCATTTGTGAGACCTTCAGTAGCTCCTGGAATGGTAAGCAAAGGTACAGCTTCTAGCATGTCATTATTTTTGTCCAACTCTGGTACAGCTTCTAGTGTGTCATTAGTTTTGTCCAACTCTGGTACATCTTCAGCGCACAGAGTTTCACCATTCCCTGATTTCTCAATAACCATACTCCCATCTGAATTTAACTCGGCAGATACACCACTCTCCTGGATGGACTCCTGGCGGTTCCCCTTAGAATCATTGACACTTTCCATGTCATCAATAGTAGAAGCACCAACCACAACAGCTTCTAGTCGGTCAAAATCAGGTTTGTCATCAGCATTTTGAGGCAAGTCTTCATCGGCTTCTATTGATTCTTCAACAGTTCTTACTTCAGCAGCTCCTTCAAAAACTGGGTTAGTAGTTGCAGAGACTAGTTCATGCTTATCAACTAAAACACCATCCATTGCATGATTTTCATTGAATTTGGTTGGAGCTTCTTCATTACTACCATCCCTGTCATCATGGTCAGTAGAAACTTCTATTGGATCCTCAATCAAATGGTGATTTCTTTCTTCTGGAGGCTGAATAGTATTCACATTAATTGCAACCTCTTGTGCTTCTGAAATGGCAGTATTTGTGTAGCCACCTTTGACGACATTAATGGACACAACACAGCCAAACCTGTAAAGATGATACGATTAGATATGTAGAAGTATTGCACAACATAAGAAATTAAGGATCAACGTAGCATGGACTTTCATTCCAATCCAACTACCAAGATTCAATCCTTGGAGGCTTGGACAACAAAACATGATCACACAAAAGTAGGATACTTCAATAATACCAAAATCAGGCAGAACACAGGAAAGCGGTATCTTAATGCATGACTGTACTAGTGTGTATCCTCGAGGTCAAACAGCACAGACAAACAAGAATCAAATTAAATGAGTGTGAACTCAGATCAGTACCTGGAACATTCTAATCGTACATCCTCTACAATTTCTTCCAAGTCTGTTTCAGATAGCAAATCCATGATCTTATGATCAAGCTATGGAAATAATGAGAGAAAAAAATGATTGTCAGAAGATTGAACACTTACCAATCAAAAGGTTATCGAATAAATAGTCAAGTTGAAAGACAGAGCTCACCACATTGCTTAGCTTGAGGACCTGTGTTGGCATCTCAAGAAGGGGTTTCACATGCTCGGGTATTCCATAAAATGGGGACATTCCTGAGCTTTCCTGGAAAAACATCAACATATCTTCATCAACCAACAAGGCATATGCCCTAAAGAGTATATATATGAATGCAGATAAAAAATTAGCTCAATGTCAAGATAGTTTTAAGCAATCTAAAGTAGTATAGTGTACACATTATATACCACTGATTCTGTGTTAGGAACAGCTTGGGCTACAGTCAGAACTCTCCCGCCTAACCTCATGCCATTCAGGCCAGCACAAGCTTTCAACGTGACAGACTGGTCTGTATACTGCAATAAACAAAAAGTGAAAAGACCATAAGTGAATATATTCACATTCAACTAGAGAGGGCATTTGAGCATTAATGGTGTAGCTTTGTTGGTATCAATCACAGGAAACGGATATAGATGAACCTGACTTCTAATCAAAAGACACTCAGAAAAAGAAGTTTCGTACAAAGCCATTTTGCTCATGCTAAACCATTTACAACAAAATTGCAGATTCAAAAAGGAAAAAAAAAAAAAAAAAAAAAAAAAAAAAAAAAAAGGATACCCCTAACACAAGACCTGTGTCAAAGCAAAAGGTGACAGGGCAGAGTTTGCAACGAATTATATAATTGATTTCTTTAACGTAATTTCAGGCAAAGTGATGGGCAACACTGAACTCCAATTTCCCACCACAGAAATTCAAAAACCCATCGAAAAAAAAAGTTCCCCCTTCTCCATCCACTCTCCAAACATATAATGGACCCCAAAAATGCAAGGAAATTGAAAATTCAAGTTAGAGAATGCCAATTTTGGCAATCAACAAGTGTCAAAGAAAACATATAATCTAACTTCTTATAAGGTCATATACAAGGAATTTACATAGAAAAACAAAAGCAGACAGTCAATTACCAAAAAGTGAGCAGCAACTTTCAATAAAAACAAGGAATACCTCTAAGAAAGCACATGGTTTTTTGAGATCTGCATTGACTTCAAAACGGTATGCCTTTAATGTTCCAAAGGCACTAACAATCTCTGCAATCTGAGAAGAAATTATTAAGCTTATAAGTCCGGATCCAGGAGACAATTGGCTTCTGAAAACACGCATAAAGATACAGCACCAGACCAATGCTGGAGCTCATTACCATTTCAGAAGAAAAATCTTCAGCAATTCCACCAACAAAGATCTGCATTACCATAACCAAAGATAAGTATACTGAGTAAACAGATTGAAAATAAAAATCACAACCCAAAATTTATCCTACTGCAACAAAAAAATAAGTTTTTTTTTTTTTTTTACTCAGTGTTACGACTAACTATTTAATGACTAATAGAGAGGATTTCAATACAAAGAGCACACAGAAAAAGGAAAAGGGAAACTACAACAGATGTCAAAGAATAATCAAAGTATGCATCTATTAACTTTGATAGAGTTGGAGCATAAGATTCAGTAGTAATAGAAACATTTTACTAATGTCGGGCTATTCATATTACTAAAACGTTTATATCACTTAAAAGAAATAATGGCAAAAGAGTACTAATGCAACTTCTACTACACTATTATTAATATTTAAAACCTGAACAAACATCATATACACTAAAAGAGCAATTAAATATAGCATAAAAGAATCACAAGCAAACTCTGCAATGAAAATTCAGATGGATGATTGTGATCTCCCATATATATCACAAATTAGAAAAGGCATCTTAGTTTATAGTCAAAGTACAAATGAAAAACATGGATCACTTATACTGTCCAGCAAGAAAGGCATTTACAATATACCAAGCTGAAACCTTTGCCTGTGGAAGGACAATTAGCTTTTTAATTCCATATAAGCTTATGTCATCATCAAATTATGAGAATAAGGAAGCAGCATGTTAACAACCTAATGAAAAGATTTTTATTTATCGATATCTTCTCTAGAAAGAAGCATTTATCTTCATCTGCAACTGTCCTTCCCTTCACAATCATGCAAAAAGATGAAAGGATGTACTACCTCCGTTTCTAAATCAGCAAGTTATTGATTTTTATTTATCCACAAAGTAGCAGATAAACCAGCAACTTACCTCCAAATCTCCAATATCATTCAAATAAACAATTGTCAATTGTATATACTACCTCCGTTTCTAAAAGTTCGACTCACTTACTATTCCATGTGGTCAAAATAAAATAATTTTGACCATATTTTATGATTTATACAATCAAAATAAATTAACAAGTTTGATCTTATTAGATTCCTCTTATGATAAATTTTTCAAATACCAAATTCTTAAATTTTTTACTTATACATAGCCGAAGTTATTCATGGTCAAAAATGTTCATTGGAGACCATGCAAATGCAAAATGAGTCGGACTTTGAGGGAGTACATAAGAATACACATCTAATGACCAATTGTGAGTTTGACAAAAGAGAAGGCTCTATCAAGCTTCATACATTTCAAAGGAAATAAAAGCTTGAATTTTATTTTTTTTTTCAAGATTTGATTTTCAAACCTAACTTTAAGAGATATTTCCACAAGGCCAAATCATTCAAATTCCATCTCAGATGTGTTATCATCCAGGAGTAATCAAACACCATTATTAAAATGGCTTCTCAGAAATCAAAAAAAAAAAAAAAAATGCAAATTACTATCGGTCTTGCACCTCCAAAGCAACAAGCAGTGGCTAATAGAAACCCACTGATCCATAGAAGATAAGAAAAAACAAAGAATGAAAATAGATTACACTGCCTAAATGCCGTCACTTGCATACCTTGTGTGGAGAATCTTGCACAAAATCACTTATGGCCTGAATACCAACTTCACTGATTGAATTGCCTCTGATTGAATTGCCTCGGATTGAATCAACTCTTATCAAATCGGCTCCAGCTTTAGAAGTCTCTGAAGATCCACTCTGCATGAAAATAGCAACTGTCTGAAAACCTGCTTCATGAATGATAACCAAAATATACCTCAGAAATTGCAAAAGTAGTAGAACCACTTCATCTTAAAATACATAATTTCACCAAGAAGCCCCAAAATCTGTTCAGAAATATAACATGGTGCTGGAACCCTCTTTTTCTTCTATTGGATCTGTTACCCAGAATACAATGACAAGGTACGTTCAAAAACATTTTGAGCAAGACAAAGAAGAGTAACAGAACCAAAAGTTACATGGAAAAATAACAGCACTCCCCTCCCATCATGGACCTAACTGCAGACAAGACTTAAGAGCTGAAAGAGCATATTGCTGCTGTGTCATATGCTCATTTCACAGTTCAAGTAGATTGGCCAAATACGTATATACATCATTACTTCTCATTATATATATATATATATATATATATATATTATATATATATATATATATAATATATATATATATATATATATATATATATTAAGAGATGCCAACGTATTCCAGTATTCCACAAATATATAATGGATGAATCTAAGATTATCACCGAGCTAAAGAGTTCTTTTTTTATCGACTCATAATCACCATCTTGCCATGAACTAGTGATAGAAGGATAACTAACTGTAGATGGTGGGAATTGACTTCAACTAAGCTATCAATATTATTAAAGTGCTTGGAAGCAGGCTCCAATTCAGGCATGTTTTTCACTTTGTCTAAAACAGAACAGCATCAACTTAAGAAAATAATGGAAGTAATGTGACACACCATGGAAGAAGGGGCAGGATATAGGACCACAAAACAAGAGTTTTCTTGCTCAAAGTTGTGCAAAGGAGCTATTAGAAACCATAAAAGAAACATATGACACCAAGGCAATAAGTAACTTATACTTCGTATGAAATAAATCATAACAGGTCAGAGCAATTGGAACAATCAATTCACTGTCAAGTCACACAGCTAAAACATTCTTCACGGTAGCTAAAACATGAAATAAACCCACCAAACAAGAGCTTAAGATAAATATGCACCCCAAGCTAATACAAAAAGCCTTTTACCATCTTACCCCCCTTACCAGCACTTCATTTACTTTTTTTTTTCTTACACACCCACTTTTCTACTCCCTCTATCTATTTTTATCCACCTTTCTCTTATTGAATCAAATGATCTTTTTATATCAAAATATTTTCCTGAGCAAATTAGACTAAACATTTGAGAAACCAAATTTAAAACAAAGTTCTATATAGTCGGTGAAGGTCTAAACAACTTCTGAAAACCAGTCAAAAAAAGAAAGAGAGAGATAGAGGCTTTGAGGCCTAAGACTCTTTTTGTCAATATAAACACAAAGTTAATAGAGTGGATATAAACACAAAGTTTATAGAGTGGATATAAACACAAAGTTCTATATAAACTGTATGGATTTTAATTAATAAGTTCATCATTTTAGTAGTCAGAAAAAATAATTGGTAACCACTTCTACATAAATCAGCTTTCAATGCTGTGGTTTTTTTTTTAATCATCATTAAGTTTCGCAATTGGAGTTCTTAATAGGAACAGAAGACACTTGCAGGAATTGTTACTATCAGATGCAAGCTAAGCTTGCGTCAGCCATGAAATAGTAATTCTTGTGTCGGCCACGACCACCAAATGATATGACTCACAATATTGCAAGCCTTGAGCATCAAATAAGAATATTAATATTAGTATACGTAATAAAATGGAATAATATTTCTAAAAGTCCAGTAAGGGGCCCCACAATTTGCTGAACAAAGCTGCAAACATGTCAGACTTGTCAATTGTCACTACATCTGGAGTCTTCTTAATTATGAATCAGCTTCCTCACCATCCTTTAGATGAAATGGTGAATAACGACACACCCAAGATACAAACCCTATGTGAAAGATTCCAACAAGTAAGTCAGAACACAGGAACGTAAAATAAGCAATTCTTTGAAGTTACCACAAAGAAAGCATCAACCATTTATGAAAACATTAACAGCACAATCAGTAGAAACACCAATTTAAAAGCACAATACATTCTTAAAAAACATGTCGTAATTGTGTTCATATCTACATTCACAAAAACACTACAGAACATCAGGCACATCATGCAAATCCATAAATGGAGTTTATTTTCAAATTTTTGTGATACTCACAAGATTGTCAGCATGCCAACAAGTAAAGTTGGACAGTCAGATTAACGACCATCAATCCTTATTTTTAAATAAGCAGCTCTATCTATATTAACCATTAATATTTTTGGTTGTGGGAGAGGGCTGTTTTATCTCATACTTGACAACAAAAAGTAAAGACAGCATAAGACAACAAAAGAATCCAGAGGAAAAAAAAAAAAATCCCAAGAAACCTAGTCTTCCCATAGTACTTTTCACAGTTTTAGTCTTTACACTAGTTCCAGCAAGATTGAGAGTCAGAGGCGACTGACCCACCTAATCAAGAGTGAGCAACAGAGATTCTTAACAAGCAAAGAACTGAAAATCCACAAGTAGAAGCACAAACAAAAAAATATCCTTTTTAAAAATTGCATAGACTAAAACACTAAACTGAAGAGGATTAGAAAGAATAGGGATGAAATCCAAAAGAAGTTAGTCTCAAAGATTCTTCATTGCCATTCTGGCCATCCAAAACATGCCCTTTTTAAGAAATTTAATTAGGGTCACACTTAATTGATCCTTTTGAATTCCTTATTGGCCTTCTCTCCTTTTTAAAAGCATAGTTCCCAACTGTTCACCTCTCCTAGCTTGTCCATTTGCAGTCAGTTCACAAGCCAAAAGTTTATCCTTTGCCATAATCAGCTTCAATTCCAATACCTTCCATCTCATACCCCATACATCCCCTCAGGCCTCAGCATTTGCAAAAGCATTCAAAGCAATTAAGAGTGTACACTAGTACATAATGCTTCAATTAATACTCCCTCCGTCCCCGATTGATAGTCACTTATATCATTTTTGGGCACCCAAAATGTTAGTCACATTTGCCTTTTTCAAGTACCACTAATATTATTTTTTTACTAAAATTCTCTAACATTTGCAAAAATATTTGTGCAAATTTAACTTTCCAATGTAAATTTTACTTTTCCATGTAATTTAATTACTTTCTCTCTCTACTTTTTTGCATACCCAATGTAAATTTACTTTTTCAATGTACTTTCTTTAATTCTCCTTAATTCCCGTGATTTTTCTTCAAAAGTGACTATCAATCGGGGACGGAGTGAGTATAATGGAATATAATAATGTCACAAGAATCCATATATCAACAACATAACCGACTTGATTTCAGTATGTAGTTAGCATCTATATCTATGCCCCAAAATAAAGATCCAATAGCTCCCTATATGGTAACAGGAGTAACTTATTTTTCAATTAGAATTTCTCATGATTTATGCAATTGTGCTTTCCCAGACTTATACTTCTTCAAACCCATAAATATAGTAAGGTTTTTTAAATCAAGAAATCCAAGAAGGCATAGAGATTATGGATATGCAAGACATATATGATTGGTAAAATTACAATACTAGTATATGCAAGACAAAACACTTTGTTTCCATTTCATTTTCTTCTATAAATTAAAAATTCCGTTTCTATGTTTTACTAAAAACTTCCAGTATTAAAGTTTAAAATGATTTACCTCTAATTTATAATTTTGTCTGACAGACTTCGCATTGACATCTAACAATGATTGTACAAAAAAAGAATTAAGAGAGTTCATAATTTACGACGCAAAAGAGCCCAAAGTAACTTATTATACAGAGCCTTAATGCAACCACTTCTTTCATTAAAACATAACCTTGATACATAGTGGACGATAATGCCCGCCAACACAAACCTTGATAGATTAAAAACACACTAAAGGTAAGCCTTTCATAAGCAGAAATAAGATTACTCCCTTCCTTTAAGATTAATAAAAAATTATGTGCCTCATAAATATCTCTCAATTAGCCTTCTTGCTAATATGTCTCTTGCGAGATAGAATCATAGAAATCCATACTATTTCCCATAGATAACATTCATAACAATATGCCACTCTAGTCTTTACCCCATATCTGTGGCTCATCACTCTACTTCCATCATAATAGGCTCAACCCTATTTACCATCCCCAATTAGTGTTCATATCCTCCACCAAACAAACAAAAATCCAAATCTTAAATATCTTATAGAAAAGTCAAAATAGCCAGATAAAACCACTTTATCCTGGGCAGTGTGAGCACTAGTACATCCTGCCTCATCTTTGTTTCCATCCAATCACAAATTCACAATGGTATAGTTTCAGATTTCTTCTGTATCTCATCAGTCAACACTCTCAGAAAAACATGTACAAGCCCATTCTAACTAACAGAATAATGAAAATAGCTTCACCAATGATCAATCCCCCCATTTCTCACAAGCCCATTCTTTTAACTTGCAGTATGTCTTTAGTCTTGATAGGATATAAAAAAAAAAAAAAATTTGGAATTCAGATATTTATATAATTTATGATTAAGTCCAGAACTACTTTACTTTGCTCCTTTTCTTGGTTTGTTTAAAATACTCAAGATGCTTCCATTTCATATATTCCCACATACTTTACTTTTCACAATCACTATCATCCATAAAATTTTATGGACCTCGATATATTACCAATCCTGTTACCTGATCCCAAAAATCTTCTAAAGTCCTCTTTTTACCGATTTACAAGCCACTTCTCATGGTGAATAAATATAATGAAACAGTGAAAGCGGTGTATGTCAATACCATATCTACATGAGATTCTTGATATACGAAGCCAAAGATGCCAAAACCCCAATAAAGGCACTAAATAAAGAATGACATGAATCACTATTACAGCAATGTATTGAAAAATCCAAAATGCACTGAGGTGATGAGGGGCCTGCTGTGCCAAGGCACAACCTGGGTGTGCCTCATCAAATTAAAGGCACCTTGCGTGTGCCTTTTTAAAGTGAGGCTGTGAGGCGCAATTTAATAAAGTCAGAAATTTTTGGAGTACAATAAACATTTTGGGCTTCAAGGTTTGCTTCTTAAATGTGCCTAGCAAAAAAGTGGTGTACCCCATTTGTCTAGCACTGTGCTTTCTCATACAATGTGCAACAGGATAACTGTCGTGAGCAATAGTGAGATTTTGAAACTTAAAAGCTTAATGAGACCAAAAAGCGGGTTCCCTTGAATTTCTCTCGATATTGTGATAGTTTCTTGGTCAATATAAACTAAACATACAAAGAAAACGAAGTTATCTTTACAATGAAAACTACAGAATACAAATTCCCTAGTTCTGCTAAAATTTAATTTAAAAAAAAAAACCCCGTACCACACTGAAAGTACAGAAGAAATATGGACCAGGATGTAATAAATGAACAACCCTATCCGCAGAGTTCTTTCAATTAGGCCCCACTAAAGCATGATCTCTCTATCTAACAGAAAATGATGCCAGTTTAATCTTGCTCAAGTCTAGTATTCAGATAACACTAATCTTACAGGAAAGAAAGAAAGGCACTAAAGGGTCAGAGGACCAAGTGGGAAGTAGTAGTGACAAATTGACATGTGGTCAGAATGCTGCCTCAAACAAAAGAACAATAATATTAATAACCAATTAAAATTTACGTCATTACCAAGACTCACAAAAGGGGTAAACTTAATATGGACAGAAAAAGGACAGCAATTGTTGGCAGGCTACAAAGGAGATAATACTCAAACAACTAGTATAGAGAAGCAACAATAGAACACTCGCAGCAACATAATTCCATATAACAGATATATACCTCACAGCAACAAAGGCAACTACCAAACCTTATTCAGTTATTTCAGAAACTAAGAATCCTAAACCTTGCTGATTCTTAAATTGAAAATTTATCAAATCTAGAAATAGGGTCAAAATATTAAAAAACAAATTTATGACATTCAGAAGATAAAACTAAGATACAAGAGGTGCCGTATAATCAGCACTGCAGTAAGCAAGCATTTAAAACTTCACCATTTCAATCACAGCTTCGTATCTCACTATATTAGAAAGACAAGCAAACAATACGAATGGAATGCTGCAAGTTAGCATAATCTGGCCACATAGTAGAAGTTCATATCATCAACAATCAACAGAAAATATGTAAAAATGATCTAGGTTCAACGATAAACCTCAATACTAATTTGACTTCTGCTCTGAGGAGAGAAAAGGGTTGCATAAGAAGGCAATGAATAACAGTTAATAACATATGTAACTTGACACATTCAGTAGAAGGATCCATGACAGAAAAAGCGACAACTCATTTAACGGGAGGAGTAGAAAAGTAGCATTTTCAAACGAGAAATGCAAAAGTGAGATTGTAGTCAATTCTTACTGGCACTTCAACGAAATCTTTAGGACGTCTGATTTTGAGTATGCTCCCAGAGAGAGATCTGCCATCAAAAGACAGCGCTGCAGAGGCGTCTTCAGGAGTAAGGAATTCCACTAATGCTTGCCCCTTTTCCTTGTGAATCTGCAATAAATCAAGCAACACTATTAAGTGTGATTCTATCGCATAAATCCCATGTATTAAAGAGCAAGAAAGTGCTGCAGACAATATGAAATAAATATATAAGCCACCTACCATGCAGCTAATACATGGACTTGTGCCTCGGATATAATTGGAGCCAGAAGAGAGCAGAAAAGAATTGAAACATTCCATAATATCTTTCTCAGTGGCAGAGCCTGGTATATTATCAATGTAGAGCCTCCTCATAGGTCTGGTGGCTTGTGTTAGTTGAACCGAGTCTATTGAGGCCTGCTTAAATGCAGATAGACTGTTGGACAAAATTGAAGATATGGGCTTTCCCATGCCAGGAGCAACGGAAAAACCAGCTGATAACTCAATCATATTTGAAGGCTTGGTTTGAGAAATTAGGTGTGCCCCAGATGAAACAGTACTGAGATTTTTATCTGCCCCAGAAGGTGGAAGATCCCACCCAGCACTTTTTCTTTCAGGTGACTGAATAGGTGAAGGAGTCTTAACAGCAGCTTCGCTTTTTCTTTTCCTAGGTGAATAGCCCCCAAGCCCACTAGAAGAGCCACCATGTCGTCGATGATGGCTGCTGGAACCATCAATAGGAATCTTGCTCCGGTCAACATCAGAATGGCGTCTAGACCTGTCTCTTTCAGAACGTAACAAAAGCTCACCATGGTCATGCACAGGATCTAACACATTTTTCCGTGCCTTAGGTGAGGATGATCTGGACCTCCTAGCTTTGTCCTTTGTACGCTCTTGACTTCTAGACCGCCTTCTTTTGGATCTAGTTTCTTCATGCTGCGAGCGTGGGAGCTCCGTCTTCTCCTTTCTCTCTGAAATCTCAGAGATGCGCCTACTTCCACTGTCAAGTTTTTTGACAGGATCCCTCATTCTATGTTTTTCATCATCTCCACTTCTATCTCTCCTTTTGTTTTCTCTTTCATATGCTCCTCCATGTCTTTCAATGTTTCTATCCTGTGCAACAGAATCACTATTATGCTTAATTTCTAGATTAGACCTACCATCACCCCTAGAATGTTCCTCTATTTTGCTTTTTATGCGACCTTGCCTGTCATTTTTAGATTCAGCATCATTCCTCACATCATTTTCATGTCTATGCTTTGATCTACTCTCCACATCATGCCTCTCCTTGTTCTCACGTTTACTATGCATATGTTCCGTCCTTGAATTCTTTTCCACAATCTTTTTGGGGCTGGATTCCCATTGAGGATCTCTTAAATCACTTCTAATATGAGTACGTTCCATCCTAGAACTTTTTTCAACATTTTTTCTGGGGCTAGATTCCCGTCGAGAATCTCGTAAATCACTTCTACTGTGAGTATGTTCCGCCCTAGAACTCTTTTCAGCATTCTTTATGGGGCTGGCTCCCCGTTGAGACTCTCGCAAATCACTTTTAATATGAATATGTTCTGTCCTGAAACTCTTTTCCACACTCTTTCTAGGGCTAGATTCCCGTCGAGAATCTCGTAAATCACTTCTGCTATGAGTATGTTCTGTCCTACTCTTTTCCACATTCTTTATGGGGCTAGCTCCCCGTTGAGAATCTCGCAAATCACTTTTACTATGGATATGTTCTGTCCTGAAACTCTTTTCCACACTCTTTTTGGGGCTGGATTCACGTCGAGAATCCCGTAAATCACTTCTGCTATGAGTATGTTCTGCCCTAGAACTCTTTTCCCCATTCTTTATAGGGCTAGCTCCCTTTTGAGAATCTCGCAAATCACTTGTAAATATATGTTCTGTCCTGGACCTCTTTTCCACATTCTTTCTGGGGCTCAATTCCTGTCTTTTGCTATGAGTATGTTCTGTCCTAGAACTTTTTTCCACATTCTTTATGGGGCTAGCTCCCCTTTGAGAATCTAGCAAATCACTTGTACTATATATATGTTCTGTCCTGGACCTCTTTTCAACATTCTTTCTGGGGCTGAATTCCCGTTGAGAATCTTGTAAGTCACTTTTACTATGAGTATGTTCTGCCCTTGAACTCTTTTGCACCTTCTTTTGGGGGCTGACTTCACGTTGAGAATCACGCGAATTTTTCATGGCAGCACCATTTGTATCCCTGCTCCGACGATCAGGGTTCCTGACAGTTTCTTCATGTCTAGTAGTTTCTGCTTCATGTGCTTCCTCAACAGAACCTTCAACTTCCTTCTTACTTTTTCTTTTAAGCATTATTTCATCATAGCTTAAAGGTCTTGTACGAGCAGATGATTCCTCGCTCGTATCATCAACTATATGTTCACAAATGATTGCAGATTTTAACCTTCGCCGAGTAGAGCCACTCATCTTGCTCAAATCAACATCATACACAGTGAAGTTCTTTTACAACAACCGTCAACCTGAAGTATGTAAAAATCCTTATCATTAGATAAATTATAAGATGATAAAAAGTGACAGCCAATTGAATGCCAGAGAATCAAGTATGACACTGCTCATCTCTAAATAATCATACTATCAGCCAATTCAGCTCTAGTCAATCAAGCAAAACCCACCATTCTAGGAACACTAACAATAATAAAATTCAAAAGCCTACAAAGGAGGACAACATAAGATATTGGGTCAAATATAATGCCTTCAAACCTTTACAATGCCAGTATGCAACAACCTACATCGGTCTCATCAGAAGCTCTCTTTCTGATAGTCTGATATTCACCACACGCACCCATACAACACAATTCCTCATTGCAAAAAAAGCAAACTCCAAATAACCACCATTATTCAAACTTCAAACATATGCCAACTACCCTGGTTTATATACCTATAAAATGATGTGTTACTCTCCCTGTCCCATCTTTATTGCAACACTTCCCATTTTCACACGTCCCATGTAAATTGCAACACTTCCCAGTTTTACACGTCCCATGTAAATTTCAACACTTCGGAAAATGGCACGGACCAGTTTTTTCTTTTAATGCTTCTCTTTCTTCTTATAACTCTCTATGGCCTCTAACATGTAGGGAACTCTCCATTGAACAAAACGTTACGATTCGTATCAGACAAAGGGATAATTTGCTAGGAAAAATAATTCAGAAACTACCCTATCCTAATTCCTAAGTAAAATTGATGGGTAGTAATCATCATTCGCTCACCCAAAATCAGTAAAGTAAAATAAATAGATCGCATGCTCCAATTCATTTGCCAAATAACCTATATTGCAGCTAATTCAACAAAAGAACATGCCAAAAACTGAATTCAAAGTAATCGAAAAACCTATCAGTCAGCTATAATCATACAATCAACAGAAACCCATTCAAGAATTTGCATTTCAGCGTCAAAAATTGAAAACCCTAACCCATGAAATGAACCCACAACTTAAAAATCAACCCAACATTCTGCAATTGAAATGTAACATTAATCACACAAATAAATTCAACAAAATAATGCACAAATTAGAGGTTGGAGTTAAATGATTATAAAAAGCAAATTAGAATTTAGAAAAAAACTGAAGAACTGACCTTGCGGAAAGCTGGAAAGAGGTGCGAATTGGACGAACGCCGGCGAAGAGAGAGAAAAAGAGGGCGTGGGTTTGGGCAGTGTAGGAAATGGGGTGTTGTGTTTGCGGTGAGATGGATGTTGAAAGGTGGGGCTTTAAAAATGGGGCATCCTATTAACACCAACTTTGTGATCGGATCATCGGAGGTTTCGGGTTTTGTGTTAAGAATTTAAGAGGGCGGACAATACGGTAACTCGTGTGATATAGGGATTTTATTATTGTCTCGCGTATTCGAGTTAGAGGCAATCGTTTAATCGACATCTTTATTAATCATAACTCTAATTTTTACTTCGTACTAATCTTTGTTTTCGTGTTTCAAATTTATTTAAGGTTAAAAATACCTACCGTAATATTTAAACTTTTTATCTGAAGTTATTTAACCTTATCTGAACTTATTAGGCTTTATTAAAACTTTTTTGAAATCAACTTATTAGATCCGAACTAAGGTGAACTAAAAAAAGCCTTATTTGATTTAAAATATGAAAGTTGAAGTAAATCTTCAATCGAATTTTTGATGAATAATTATAACATTATTATTCTCGTTTCAGTTCAAAGTTAGTAAATTGTTCAAAAATATAAGTGCAGGCGGGTTTAAAAGGTACACAATACAACATCATAAAAGATTTTATGGCTTATCCATCAACGTTCGGTTAATTATTGGGTTCTCAACACCCAACTATCTCCTATTGGCTTGATTTTGGAATCATTGTGCAACTTAGCATTGTGCCAACAATATTAATAAATTTATACAACTACATAGGGTGAGCCCTTATATTAAATAACTTAATAGCCTATTTTCGATCTACCCTATTCAACATGGTGTGTTATGCATGCAATAGGTGGTTCATGCACCTGGGTGCATGGTACACCCGGATTGAGCGGAAATAACATGGCTTATAATTGTAACGAACATTATGAATTTATAAAAAACCACAACGTTAAAATTTAAAGAACACAACTTATCTCTATGTAAAAGTTTGTGAAAAAAGGTAGAAAATAATTAATAATTGATTTTTACCACGCATTTAATGTCAAATCATTTCAAAAATATTCAGTTTTCATAATTTCATTATGTATAATTATGTTCAACTATATATAATTCAAGGTTTCCTTTTGAAATTTCAAATTTTCTTTTTCCAAATTATTTTATTTTAATCATTTTCTTTTAAAAAATTGATCCTATTCTTTCACTATATGTTTTTTTTTTAATTACTCTGTATTATTTAGTTATAATATTCTTCTTAATAATAAAGGAACTTGTTGATTCCAATAGTAAAAGATGGTGAAAAGGAAAAACTTGATTGAAGATCTCAATACCATAGCCTCGTTGCGGAATAAAGTTAAATGCCTAGAAGTGAAATACGTCACCACTAGTACAAGTTTCCTAGTAATGCACCCTTCCAAAGTTTAACGCCAATCCTCTCTTAATACGTGTACTCAGAAGTCGAAGGATGGAACCTTTACAAGAACTATTCAAATCTCAAACAGGTTGGTTTGTGTTTAGTGTGTTTAAGGCTTCAATGTTTTTCGCATCATGCATATGGAGATTGGAGACTTAAGAGAGTTAATGTAGGAAACAAATAAAAAACTTATCCTCCAACTCGCTCACTTGTGGGTTATATCTTGGCCTGCCGCAAGCAATTATGCTTTAGAGCTATCGCTCGCTCACTTGCGAGCCATAGCTCAACCTTACAACAACAATGCTAGCACTCAATCTATCGCTTGTGAACTATAGCTCGATCTTGTCACAACAATGCGAGCATCCAGGTTATCAAGTAAGCTATGCTCACAAGAAAAGGTTCTGATTTGCATTACAACCAATACAAGTTATACAACTCCTACAATCATGGCCTCCATTGCTTGGTAATTTTGCTATATCTTCCAATAGAAATTAAGTGAAGTATTGGTTTTCATCACATTATTCACATATCAATTTCTCATCACATATTAAGAAAATGTGGTTGTTTAGGTCTCTTTAACAATCTTGTTAGTTTATTTTTTTTGTATTCATTTCGCTCTTTATTGTGCTTGTCCATCAATGCCAATCCACTGTACTAGTATGTCATAACTCATAAGTTAAGTTAATTTCGTTCTCCTTATCATGTAAGTAAAATTGTCCATGATACAAAATCTCTAAATCACATTATTTTTTTTTATTTTTTTAAGGATGTCCACCCGATTCACCGGATAGTTGAATCGGAATACATTAGACTTGATTTCTTATAATTTATCATAATTTTATGAAAGTATCAATACATTCATCCAAATTTTGAAATGCATATTTCTTAATCAAACTGGGTAAAAATAAATAAATTTTAAAACACCCATTTATAAATTAGCATTAATAATTCAACAATTAAAAAGAAAAAAAATGTATCAACTCTACTGACCAACAGATTCACAGAAAAAAAGAAAAAGAGGACAGTTATAGAGTGAACATGGTAATATTAGTCCATTTTAATCCAAAGCTATTCATCTTTAATTTTCCTGCTTTGCTGAGAATGGACTTTTTCATTTTCATTTTTGTAAAAATAAACAAAATTAGAAAGAAAAAAAGGGATCAGACTGACGTGCAAATAATACGAATCAACAAAGCTAATGCTTCAGATTAAATATGATAGTTTATCATCATTTCCCAAATATAATTTAAATAAAAAATGTATCATCTCCAATGATCGGAAACCTCGTTTGATAATTAGAAGATCAGAACAGGGAGGAGATGTAAAAATCTGAGATTAATGTAAGTCCATTAGCATTCAAAACTAGTCATCGCCAAAGGCCGACTAACTTTGCCAAGATGGACTAAATCTATCTTTTTAATCAAACCAAAAATTATTTTTGAAGAAATTGAAAAGATTAAGCTAAGATTTTAAAGAAGAAAAAATGGGTTTTGGATTTAGTTTAAGCAAGAGAGAGATGAGTGAGCTAAGAAGATGAAGATAGCTAAGACGACTGATTGAGAAAGGGTTTAAGGGGAGAAGTTATATAGCTGCGCTTTTTTTAGGGTTTCAGGGATCAATGAGAAACAAACATTTCCGTACTGTATTGGATTCGGGTCGACCCGATTTTATTTTATTATTATTTTTTTTAAAGCTTTTGGAGGTAAAGTTATCAACAAGAGTATGAGTAGCCCAATTTCATCCAAAACTTGCAAAACCATATTCAAATATGGTACCAAACATAGCTTCGTGTTTCCTTAAAAAAAAAAAAAAAAAAAAAATAGCTTCGTGTAGTGTTAAGATTTGCATATCACAATATTAAGGTTGTGGGATCAAATTTTACTAAAGGCACTTTGGGTGGAGATTCCCTTACCCTTTAGCTTGGGTCGGGAGAACCTATGAGAAGTTCTGACTTAATAGGGCCCTACTCTTTATTAAGAAAAATAAAAATAAAACTCAAATATTGCCATTTTTATTTTAATCATGGTCTAGTCCAACTCGACTTTTGATCATTTACCGTGTCTAGGGTTAGTCTCATAACCTATAATGGTGTACATTTTTAAGCAAAATGTAATTAAAATTTTTGAGTTTGATCCTGTTTAGTAATTAGCTGGTAACTGATTTATATAACTGGTTGTATTAGCCCGGTTAGACGGTTATATTAGTTGGTTTTACTAGCTAGCTATAAGCTGATTGTGTAAAAGTGTCCGGTAAATAACTGTTAATTGTTAGTTATTTTAGTGTATTTAAGAGCTAAAAAACTAATTGTTTAAAAAGCTAATTTTAAAAAGCTCTTATAATGAGCTTTTTCTAAAAGAGTTTTTTAAGCCTTAAAAGCTCTTGTAATAAGCTATACCAAACACCTAAATAGGCCAAGGGTCTGTTCATTGACTGAACTCAGCTGAGCTGAACTAAACTGAATATTTTATAAGAGAAGGAAATTAGAAGCTGAACTTAACTAAGCTGAGCTGAATTTCAACGTAAGAGAACAGACCCTAAATTAGCTTTTTAAATTGAGCAAAATAAGCTAAAAACTCTTTAAAAAAACTCTTTACCAAACAAGGCCTTTGTTTCAAAAGGGAGCATGACATGGGCAAAACCACTGCCACACTATTTTTATTTCAATTTTCAAGACCAGAAGGAACAAGTACGAACAAGAGTTCTTTTTATTGCATGAGTGTTTTCCCAATAGGCAATAGCATTATTGACACAATGATATTACACAAAATAACTTAAGTAGATACTACACAACAATGTTTTTGGTACAGCAATTAAGTACTCTCAGAACTTGCAACGTTCTTGATGAATATGACTTCATTTACATCAAATGACAGAGCAGAACAATTTTGTACAAGGATTCTTCATCATCCTCAATTCCTTGGTCTTGATAGCATGTGCTCAGACTTCTGGCAGCGAGAGAAATGCAAACATGTTAACTTCGAGTAGATATCAAACAACATTTAAACAAAACTAATTCAAGCAAACTGGAATAGAGATAGTATGTTTGGAGTAAGGTAATAATATGCGCTGTACAGTGGCGGAGCCAGGATTTTTCACCTAGGGGGACGGACTAAAGGTGGCGTACATTCTATAAATGGACAAACCTTTTAAACATACAAGAAATTGTAGGGACTATGCTTAATATTTATAAGTTTTACAACCTGTAAATCCAAATTTCTTAGTTATACAGTCCAAAAATTGAAAAAAAAAGCATATTTACAATAACAACTTCACCTTCAAATATTCATTTTTGTTTTGAAAGTAATATACAATCAAAATTATCAAATAATTCATAAAATGTGATTTCTAATTCACGATAATCCTAACAAATAAACAATTTCTTATTCAAATTTGGTCAATAGCGGATCCATAGGTTCAAAGTTTTTAAACCCGTGACAATTTAATTTATATTGAGATATATAATAAAACCAAACACCTTTACCCGAAATTCCTACTATAACCAATAATTTAGGGTTGTAATGTATGTATTTATATAAATAAAAAAAATAAAAAATTATGTAAATTACTATGGTAATTTAAAAGTTAGAACATGATACCATTAAGTAGTACTATGTATTACTTCTAATTGAATATGTGAAGTAAAGAAACATGCAAGAAAAGAGAAAAACTTTAAAATAAAAATAAGAAATTGTAGGGACTATGCTTAATATTTATAAGTTTTACAACCTGTAAATCCAAATTTCTTAGTTATACAGTCCAAAAATTGAAAAAAAAGCATATTTACAATAACAACTTCACCTTCAAATATTCATTTTTGTTTTGAAAGTAATATACAATCAAAATTATCAAATAATTCATAAAATGTGATTTCTAATTCACGATAATCCTAACAAATAAACAATTTCTTATTCAAATTTGGTCAATAGCGGATCCATAGGTTCAAAGTTTTTAAACCCGTGACAATTTAATTTATATTGAGATATATAATAAAACCAAACACCTTTACCCGAAATTCCTACTATAACCAATAATTTAGGGTTGTAATGTATGTATTTATATAAATAAAAAAAATAAAAAATTATGTAAATTACTATGGTAATTTAAAAGTTAGAACATGATACCATTAAGTAGTACTATGTATTACTTCTAATTGAATATGTGAAGTAAAGAAACATGCAAGAAAAGAGGAAAACTTTAAAATAAAAATAAGAAGAAAAAAATGTTGGTCAAAGGGATTGAACCCATGACCATGGAGACTACTAGTAAGCCCTGAAACCATTGAACCAAACCCTTTTTCTTATGGTTTTTGCTGCACATAATTAGTTTTAACTAATTTTTTTTTATTGAAGTGGGGGGACAGCTGTCCCCCCTTGTACCCCCCTCCCTCCGCCACTGGCTCTGTATCAGGGAATAGCGACAAAAAAAATAACGTAATACGACCTAATCCCAGCATGAAGGTCTAAGAAGAGGTATCACCACTATGAAGGAAGCATTTCCTTCATTAATTACATTATAACTCATTACCAGGTAAATATATGGGAGTTAATGGTGATGATCGCTGAAGAATATCGACAAATCCAAAGTGACGTTGCTAGTAAAGCACCATCTTAGACATCCTAAGATAGCGAGGTAGTGACATCCATATGAAAGATCCCACACCAAATTACAACCAAAAAATCCATTACCTTTTTCCCAACTAGCTAAATCTCTTATATGAATCTAATGACAATGGCCAAATTTGCAACTTTTTAACCATTTAAACCACTTTTTGTACATAATTAGTGCTTGGGTGTTCCCATCTAAAAATTTAGTATCAAGCTACAACAAGAAAGGTACTAGAATGTTCAAACTTACAATGGAACTTTTTTTTATCCAGAAAAAGAGTGAATATGATAAATCCAACTGACCTGCTCAGTGTATGGCAAATACTTCCCATCAAAAGTAACCACAACCCTGTCCTTTCCATCAACGCCTTTAACCTTATCGACCGAGCAATAGAAATCTATGGCTGACATGCTAAACAAGAGTCAAATGAACAACCAATACAAAATGTCAGTAAACAAAAAACAAGCATGGCATATAAGTAAATCAATGACAAGCCAACAACAAATGACCAACTTATATCCTGAGCCATATTAAGAGCAAGAGTAACACTTTGTACATTGCAGATATAACATAAGGTTTGATAGATTAGCATGCCTAGTGGATGGAGAATATATTAAGAGTTCAATTGATTGTATAATGATTAGTGAACATGAATTGCTGAATGAGCCTGTGTTAATCTAAAATAGAGACTAAAAAAAAGGTCTGCAAGATGGCCCAAAAGTAATAATGGTTATACCATTGGCTAGTTGCAAAACAATGTATATGATAATTAAAATTACAATAAGGGATGAATTATCTCGTATCCTAACCCTCTTATTTTGGAGGAGCTTAAATTAGTCAGCAATTGGGATTAAACATCTGATAGTTTTACAATCGCATAAGTCCAAAGGAAACAGAAAAAGTAGATAGTCAACTATACGCGAACATCTCAAATTTCCTCAATAAGATAAGCTGAACAGAGTGAATATAGCAATCAAGAGAAGAGAGATAGAGCACAAATTTAGTACATGAACTAAGAGCAAGAGTTAGATCCTTACATGCCATCACCAAACTCCTCGTTGATTATTTCTTTTATGCTCTCACCAAAATGCATGGTTGCTTCATGCAACCTGTAGACATGGCATTATTAGAAAGGAAAGAATTTACTGAAACTAATGCATTATTATAGTGGAAACAAACTAAAAGGAAGATTGAAACAAAGTTTTGCACCAATATTTTTATATTTTATCAAGAATTTGGATCATATTAGTCTTAAAATAAACAAGTAGGAATTTTTTTATATATTTGGAGGAAAAGGGGGTGGTAGAGAAAAAGTCCATAGGGTAATTGGGTAATGGCGTAATGCATTATTACAGCAAGACCCAGGCACCCAGCAAACAATTATCAAAGATAATCAAAGGAATTTCATCGTCCCATTCCAAACCACAGGCATATTAATGATATCAAGATCACCAGAGAAAGGAGATTCTAGCTAGTACATGCTTAGCATGGTTAAGCTCGCTTTTCTATGGCGGCAACATCCACAACGGCAACAGAAAATAATGAATATACCAACAAGTAACCAACTGAATAAAACAACACAAAAACATTCCATTCAATAAAACCAAAACACCACCAAAGCCATGCTTAATAGTAGCACAAACTATAACATTCAATGAAACTTCCAGCCAAACTTTTCATCAGCCAAACTCGGGTGCATAGTAATACTACAAATGTTCTTCAGGAGCTCAAACAAATAGAACTTTATAGAGCAATTCAAACTTCTTCAATCCATCATGAATACTTCAAATTTACCACATGACCACATTATATTGGAGCACATACTAAAATGTCATCCAAATAACTTTCCATCTCTCTCAAAAATTTCTTCATTGTACAAAAATTAAGCATATATACCTCCATATAACTACTACTTGGGCAAATCAATTGATTAATCCTTCAAAACCAATCAAAATTACCCCAAACAAAATAAACCCCAAATTGGATATCAGTAGTGGTACAACATACAATCAACACAATAACCCAGAAAAATTAATTAGAAAATCAAATAATTTAATGCAATTGGATTACATAGGGCTATTAATTAATCAATCCACAACATACATAATCACTTCACAATCAACAAATATAACCATAACCCAGATGATATTACTAATAACCCAGAAAAACCAAAACCAAAACCAATATTCAATATCAACAACATAATCACTTAATAATCAACAAATTAAACCATAACCCAGATGTACTAATAACCCAGAAAAACCATACCCAAATTTCAATAACCACCAACTTAATCAGTAATCCCTTAATAATCAACAAATTAAAACTAACCCAGATGATAAAACTAAAATCCCAGAAAAATCAAAACCAAATTTCAAAATCTCATGACAATAGGAGAGAGAAAAAGACCTATAAATGGCGGGTTCTTGGGTCAAATCAGGATCATAAGATCTGAAAGGAGGTCTCATCATAAGCTCAATATGATCATCAGTCAATTCGGGTAACGCAGCCCGGAGTTTAGGGGCAGTATCGGGCTTCAATTGGGCTTGGCGTCGAAGAAGCTGGGCTACATAAACGTTGGTAAGACCAGTTTCAGAAGCAATTTGGTTGAAGGATTTTCCAGATTTTTTCTTGGCTTCTTGAAGTTTCTCTACTACTGATAAGGTGTATGCTGAAGACGCCATTGTTGGGTTTAGTGAGGTTATTGGATGAGGTTGAGGTATGCCAATTTATGGGGAAGATGGATGGATGAATGAATGAATGAATGTATGAATGATGATAACGAGGATATATGTAGTGTGATTGTGTGTGTAATAAATTTTGCTACTCTTGCTTCTAAGATGTCAAGGAATAGTAATCAAAATTACTACGAAAGTTAAGTTTGACCGATGTTTGGTTTGTACACTTGTGTTGCGACCGTTTAAAAACGACATTCCGGTAACTTTAGACAGGAAAGGGTTGAATTCAAATTAACAAGATATATTCATTAGATAAAAGATCGAGCAATGTAAACTTAACTCACTTTGCCGTTTCATAAAAGAATGTACTTTATAGGTCATAACTCGTAATGAAACGATGATATAAATCACATTCAAGTAAATTATATGCTCATATATATACAACATATTTACCGCTAGTATGCTAATAACATTTATGGCATGTTCTGAGTAAGTAGGAAGCAAGAAGAGAAGAAGATGAGCAGCCATAATTGAGGAGCTTTGAGAGAAAAGATAGAAAAAAAAAAAACTGCATTTATTAATTGTATTATTGAGGAGCTACTTGTATTATGATAATAACAAACATCCCAAAATCGAGGAAACAAACATAAACTAACTAAACCAATTTGACTATACCATGAACTCCAAAACAATAAGTGGCAATGAATAGAAATGATGGTGTTCAAAGCCATGAACTATGTCATAAAATCTATGTCATGAAAGGCCATTCGAACCATAATTCATGTCAATTAGTTTAATTTTACAACAGTATTATTATATTTTATTTCTTCTGCTTATCTTTATTTCTTGTTCTTTTACTAAACGTGTCATAAGCTTATAAACCGTGAGTAGGTGCTTTAAATGAGGTGACTCCGTGGCATAATAATTGATAAATAAATGCACACATATTGAGAGTATCAAAACAAAAATCCTAACAATGATAATATAGTATATAACCTCTAAGTCTAACAAACCAAGGAGCTACATACGTTCAAAAACATTAATAGTAGATTAGTAGTATTAGGAATCCCATGATACTCGCTATCTCGTAAGCATCTTATAAAAAAAAAAAAAAAACTAAGTATCCCCACATTAATTAGCTGCTACGGTGCTACCTAGTTTGTTTTAATATGCTAATTACTAATTAGACAGCCAATAATTCAATTAATTGAAAGTCATCTATTATCAATGGCTATTGAAGAAGCAGGAATTGATGATTACACAAAAGATGGAACAGTTGATCTCAAAGGCAACCCTGTTCGTAGATCCAAGCGTGGTGGTTGGAGAGCTTGCTACTTTTTTGTCGGTATGTTTTTGTATTCAATTTCTCTCTTATCTTATTCTTATTGCGAATCATCCATTTATAAGGAGTAGTCAAGCTAGCTAGCAATGAGAAAAGAGTCTCTCAAAACGAGATGTCTATTACTCGGTTAGTTTCATATTGTTCTTCCTATTTGAAATCATTTTTGTGAAAACATAATTAGTCAAATTAGTAAGATTAATATGAAACGGAGAAAGTAGTTCTTTTGAAATTTTCTCTCTTTCTCATGGTGTTTGTTGGCATTGCATACTTGAAAATAAATTATATGGACTATACGCTAATAAATATGCAATTAAAAGCTTACAAGTGTGTTCTATTCACCTGATTTTTAATTATGTGAACCGAATTTATTAAGCCTGAAATAAGTGAAAATTTGGTCATTTGGTGTCACAGTTCATTAATTTATTAACGAGTTTATGACTAAAGCAACGATTACAGCTATATTGATTGATATCTTTACCTAAGGGATAGGAATGAAGGATAGAATGAACAAATTACTAAAATTAAAGATAATTACCAAAGCAAATGATTAATGATATACATACAATGTATACAACTAGCATATCAAGTGACATCCTTAGCTTTTACTACGTATCTTGTTGTGATTGATACTTTGATAGTCAAGTTGTAAGACCACAGGTTCAAATCTGCTAGGGAATTGTTTAATAGACTTCTGTTTATATGAAGATTTCTTTTGAAAAATTACTTACAATTGATAATTTATGGGTGATGATTATGCACTGTATACAGTGTACGAGGTGTTTGAGAGGATGGCATATTATGGAATATCATCAAATTTGGTGTTGTACATGACAAGAAAACTTCACCAAGGAACAGTGGAGTCAGCCAACCATGTAACTAATTGGGTAGGCACCATTTGGATGACTCCTATTATCGGTGCTTATATCGCTGATGCCTACCTTGGACGTTATCGAACTTTTCTCATTTCTTGTGCCATTTATCTTTCGGTAATATAACTCTCTAATCTCTAAAGTCTTAACCCACTTGATAACATCTTTATTATAACATAACCGTACAAATATAGTCAAAGTTCAATCAAATTATCAGATTAGACCAACTTTACATACCAAACATTCGAAAAATTCCCAATTAATTTATCTTATTTCAGTTGAAGAGATCATAAAATAATAATTTTTGTATCATCATTTTTTTTTATTAGGGAATGTCACTTCTAACACTAGCAGTTTCACTTCCTGGGCTGAAATCACCTCCTTGCAATGAAGCCCAATTATCCAATTGTAAGAAGGCCTCACCACTTCAACTAGCTGTTTTTTATGGAGCACTCTATATCTTAGCAGTTGGGACAGGTGGGACCAAGCCCAACATCTCAACAATTGGGGCAGACCAATTTGATGATTTTGAGCCCAAAGAGAAGGCACAAAAACTCTCATTCTTCAATTGGTGGGAGTTTAGTATTTTCTTTGGAACCTTGTTTGCTAACACAATCTTAGTCTATGTTCAAGACAATGTGGGCTGGACTCTAGGTTACGCGCTACCGACTATTGGGCTTGCCATATCCATTTTAATATTTTTATCTGGAAGTCCCTTTTATAGGCATAGATTGCCTAATGGAAGTCCCTTCACAAAGATGGCTAAGGTTATTATGGCTGCCATTAGGAACCGGAACGCGTCGTTCCCTAGTGACCTTAAGCAGTTGTACGAGCTCGACTTGGTTGAGTACACCAAGGGTGGGATGTATAGAGTGGAATCAACTTCATCATTAAGGTTAGTGATTATAAATAATGACTTGAAATTCAATCTCAATTTTAAGTAAGCATGTAATTATAAAGTTGTGTTCTTGTAGCATTAAGTTGTTATATACTATGACAATTATATTCAACGTACCATATTGTGTGATGGACTGTTATGTAGATAAAATATTGGCTATGATTGCAAATAACTAGACAATATGATGATAAAATCATCTAATTATAATACATGGCTGTTTGTAGGTTCCTAGACAAAGCCGCGATAGTCACAGGTTCAAAGGATCCTTGGAAGTTATGCACGGTTACACAAGTGGAAGAGACGAAGCAAATGATAAGAATGCTTCCAATCTTGATTACGACCTTCATCCCAAGCACGATGTTAGCACAAGGACAAACCCTTTTCGTCAAGCAAGGTACCACATTGGATAGGAGCATAGGCAAGTTCCACATCCCACCAGCATGCCTAACCGGGTTTACAACATTCTCAATGCTCGTTTGTGTCGTTCTATATGACAAAATCTTCGTAAAATTCATGAGAAAACTAACTAAAAATCCAAGAGGGATTACATTGCTTCAAAGAATGGGACTTGGCCTAGTAATTCACACAATCATTATGATAGTTTCATCATTAGTTGAGAGGAGAAGACTTAGTTTTGCTAGGGAACATGGTATGGTTGAAAGTGGTGCACAACTTCCTGTAACAATTTTCATTTTACTCCCTCAATTCGTTCTCTTAGGGGTTGCTGATGCAGTCCTAGAAGTGGCAAAACTCGAGTTCTTCTATGATCAAGCTCCTGAGGGAATGAAGAGTCTTGGAACATCTTATTCAACTACGACTATAGGTATTGGGAATTACATTAGTAGTTTCCTCCTATCAACAGTTGCGCACCTTACAGCCGAGCATGGACACCAAGGGTGGATTTTGAACAACCTTAACGCCTCTCATCTTGATTATTACTATGGGTTCTTTGTGATACTTAATGTGGTAAATTTCATCATTTTCTTGCTTATAGTTAGGTCTTATGTTTATAGGGCTGAAATTTTCGATTCATTGGACGTGCTTAGAGATGAATTGCATCAATGACGACTATTTTGCGACAATTATTGAACAGGATTATTTGGAAATGTATATTCCCCCACATATGAAATTGACATCATATAATTTGTTTTCTTACAAAAGTTTTTTTTTTTTTTTTTTTATATTTTTTAATATTTTTTTAATATTTTGTGACAAGATTTGATTTCATATCTTGAATACTACGGAGTACATTACTACCTGATAACACTTAAACAAACTAAGTTGTACCCAACTCCACTCTGTTGGTAAAAATACCTGTCGATTCCAATACAAAAAATAGAGAAGATGAAAGGGAAAATACTTGATTGAAGATCTCAAACTCACAGTCGCGCCGTGGAACAATAATCCACTGCCTTAGAAGCGAAATACGCCACCACCGGTACAGGTTTCTAGATGACGCACGCCCCCCAAGTTTAATGAAACTCTCCCCGTAATTCGTGCACCCGAACTCGAAGAGTGGAATTGCTCAAGAACTGTTCAGATCTCAAAGGTAGGTTTGTTGGGCTAGAAAAGTGAATGAATCTCATGAAAAGGCAAGACTCGTATTTATATGAGTCCCAGAAAAAGAAACACGCAAAGCAACCCGACCTAGGAAAAAAGGCGGGCCCGATCGGGCGAGCTGCGGCCCGATCGGGCGCGAGATTAAGTTTCTCCAGACCTGGTGTCGTGCCCGATCGGGCGCCCGGTCGGGCAATCTAGAAACCCCATCCCGGGCGAGCCATCGGGTGAAGCCGCCCGATCGGGCTCGTCAAAAACTCGAGTCCGCCGCCCGTTCGGGCGAGGGCCGCCCGATCGAGCGCGAGAGTTCTCCTATTTTCCTTGGACACCTCCGCCCGATCGGGCGCGAGCATCCGTTTGCATTACTTATTTCCAACAATCCCCCACTAATGCGAGCGGATCTTCAACATGAAATCTGAACAATAAATGAAAGTCTTAGTACTTAAATGCTAGTATCCAAAGGTTTGAACTAACACATTAGTGCACAAGGTTTTCAACACTTCCCTAGTGAGTATCCTAAGATTTGAACTCCTAGGAGCGAGGAAGGGACCTTGAATACACATACCTTGACTTTAGAGCTTAAGCAACTCCGCCAATCTTGGCCTACACCTTGGGCTCTCATGAGTACTTCAAGAAAACTACACCACAATTTTCCCTTTGAAGGAGGCCACCCCTCGTACTCACGTAGGTGTTCCGTCTGTGTATAAAATACACATTCCCAGCACATCTAAGGTCTTTCCTTGCAGGCTTAAACACATTCAAGCACCTTGCAAACCCAAGAGTTTCTGTGCAATAGAATAAGAACATTAAGAACGAAAAGTTCAACCCTATCAACTCGACGGTGCATCTATCAATCCACTGCTCAATGAGCTCTTAGGCTAGATGCATTAAGGGATACTCCCAACCTCAGTCATTCGGTACCACTATCATTCCCTACTCGAGCAGTAACTGGGCTAGTGATTCTAATTCGTTTAAGGATCACTATCGTTCCCTACTCTCAAGCAACTGGGCTAGTAGTATTAAGAGCAAGCAATGATCAACCTTCCACCTTCGCTGTCATTATCAATCCTACTCTAAGAGCCACTGGGCTAATGGTCTTAAATCTACTTAAGAACCATTATCAATCCCTGCTCAAAGAATAACTGGACAAATGACATTAAGAGCCACGCTTAACCTTACTGAATCCACCTGATCAACAAACCACTGAAAAAAGTTATAGATTCAATAAACATAAATGGTGTAAATCCAACAATGAGTCAACCAAAACAAGGCTCTAGACCCATTCAGAACAAAAGTTCAACAAATTAAAACACTTCGGTGTGTCCATGTAAGCTGTCTCAATTGACCACCCAATCTGGGTTATGGACATATTAAGAGCACTTAAAGCTCAACCTGCAAGCATCAAGCAACAAGTCTACCAAAGCATCTCATAACCATATAAATTAGAGGGTTATCAAGCCAGATCACTTCAGGACATAGACTCAATTTTTAAACTTCGTCACTAGAATAATTTAAAATACCCCACAGAATCTTAAATATATTCTCTTAGACAATCAAGCACTTACCTGTGCTTCATCCTAGTATAAGGACCTGCTTGATTCTTCTTTGCTTTCACGTACTCTAACATGAGTATCAGCTCCACAAGATCTGTCTAACTTTGTCACTACATCTGTACTTCCTGACAACATACATAGACACTTGTGAAAAATAATGTAGAGAACATGAGGATCAACTTACCCCCACAATGGACAAACTTCCAGAGATTAATTTTTGCAACAATCATCTTCTTGACCATGTCATCCAATCTAATGAACCTTTTCTTCATAATGGATAGTGTACAACAATTTGTTTTGCAGCTCACTCGAAACAGAGCACCACCCTTCATCATGTAAAACCCATACACTGAAGAGGTTCAACTAATCATCGTTGTTCATTCAATCATTGTCTCTTAGGATTTACTGGATAGGTACTTGAGAAACTTTCTCACTTTAACCTTCATCCCTGTACTATCTGAAGCTCAGAAAATAATTGAGTAATTCTCTCTTGACAAACAGAATAAACAATATAGCTCACAACAAAAACACTACACGTCAAGAAAAGTTTGTTCATCATTTAGATTGCAAAACATTAGCGCATTTGAATCAAACATCAAGGCCAAATCATGAAAAATAACTCTGGCTTAGACGTGATAAATATAATTTACCAAACCACTTTTTCTACATCACAATAATGAGATTATTGATGCGTACCTTTATTAGTTCATTTGCATACTGCCTAGAACCATTCTGCTTATCACATTATCTTGTACTTGTTTCTTGGCTTAGAGACACATATACATCTTTATCTCAATTAACAACATGCATGTGAAGTTAACAACTTATGATCATTCTAGCAAATGAACTCCATCAATGCGAACCATAGTAACATCACACATGCATCAAGAAGTTCAACTCACATGCCTAGAAAAACTTAACATAACAAGTTAGAGTACTCAAATCTAACCCCCACTCACCATACATATCACAAAGTATATAACATCATGAGCAAAAAATACCTCATCTTCTAAGTTGTCACCTGTGCATGCGTTTTGAAATACACACCCTTGATTTACAATCAATCATGCTAGGAATCTTAAGCAACCTTACTGCAAATCAGACAAGCTTAGAACAAACCAGGTGAGTCATAAGAGATGGTCAGCACCAAACTTAAAGAATAAATCCTAACAACATAGTATCTTACCTTTAGCCCATTTCCAATCAACCACCTTTCAACTCACCTTGAAAGATACTTACAACAGATGTAATTCTAATAGCAAGGCAAGATATACTCTTCTCAAACATATCAGACTCAAAGAGAGTGCACAACTCGCGTTAACATGCTTCTTTCCACAACTAGTCAATCAGGTTTATCCATATGGTTCAGGATTTTTCCATTCACCACTACATGAATATATACCACACAACAAACATCTACATACAACTTTCGATTAAGAAAGTAAAACGAAGATGATATAACACTAGTTTAACCTTAATCTAATACACCTTAGATGATAAACTCATCAACTTTACTGGCAAGATAAAGCTTAGGAAGCAAGAACAAATCCTATGAACGAGCAAAACTAACATGTCATGTCATAGGAAAACATATACTTGAGACAATTCAAGGATTTAACATATCAAGCTCGTACATGATAAACGTAGCAGATATTCAACATACATATCACCCACATTCCCACAAGCCCTCATGCTTTATGTGAAACATATCTAGAAGTCAATTCTTTATTATTGGAAACCCCCACATCACATATACCACATGAAAATAATCATGAATAAGGTAACAAATTAGGGAGTATAAACCAAATTCTTGGGTAAAATACTTACTAAACAAATAAACAACTGATACATATCTGCAACCCCCACAATAATAATATTCACAGAATATTAATAGTGTTTAAAGACATATAGAATGTTAATTCTCATCCTTACCTCATGTGGGGCACTTACACTTCAAACTTGCACGACCATTCTAGCTTTGTTAAGTCAAGCCTTTTTATTCTGCTAATAAGCACGGAAATCAACCCAGTCTCATCTAGACCATCAACAAGAAAAATAATTGCTACACCTCTAGCCAATTAAATACATTTCAAGTTCGTGAACAAAGCTGATTAAGATCACAAGAATTAAAAGAAACAATAACTCTAAATCCCTTTTTAATCTCAAAAACGAGACACTTACAAGCTTATCACATACTCCATGCTCAATAAAATATTGTCCATGATTAGGAAAAATAACAATAAAAACACTATCATAAGATAGAACATATGTCATCCCTAATCTACTAGGAAAAAACACATCAAAGTCCATGAACATAAATAAATTACCATTGGACGAAACATACATTAGCAGAAATAAATTACTTGCAAACAACAAGTCAAAAGCTATAGATAAACGTCACTTTCGGAGACCTTCCTCCTCAATACCACTCATCAACAAGAGTACAAACTAACTTACTAGTTAGTCGCAAAAATCTAACTCAAAACACCCCCACATTGCTAAACAATAGCTCATAATAATTAAATTATGCATATATAACAGGAGCACATAATAATAGACACAAATATTATGTAGAGTTAGAAATTACTTAAATAAATTGAGAAGGATAACTTATCTGATTACGAGCAATGGTCTGACCAACTATTGTTGCATATCTCGGCTCACTCGCTAGACAGATTTTATTGAGTTATAACTCGACAGTCGACACCGTTGCTGCCCATCGATCCTCGCATAACCGATTGCATTACTTGCAAATCCTGTTGGAGTCTTCACTAGAGAAGGAGCAACCTTTTGATAATCTACCACTTTAATTAATATTCCAAATTAAAGACTTCTGAATTGCACTGCTTCCACCGACATTCTTCAATTGAAATTTCAGGTTTTCTTTTCTCTAAATTCTTTAAATAACATGGTTCAATATGAAACCATATTTGACAAACAAAAAGGTTAGGAATTAACTTTCCTTAACCTTGCTGACATGATGTCCACTAGGAGCCACAAATTAACTAAAGAAGGCTGCAGTTAAGCAATGATCAAACACACTTTACCGAGTTCATCCTTCCAACAATGTACACAGATATTGCACGCTGACGGATAAAAAATTTCCCCAAAAATTAGGGTTTTTGAACTGCAAATAATACGGATGAATTTCATACGATGATCCGAACCAAATTTTAATTTCCATCCCGATCAAACGATTTATATAATTGAATAATCCAGGAATCAACAGTATAATAAATTAATTAATACTATTTCGCTTCTAAATTGTTGGTAAAAATACCTGTCGATTCCAATAACAAAAAATAGAGAAGATGAAAGGGAAAATACTTGATTGAAGATCTCAAACTCACAGTCGCGCCGTGGAACAATAATCCACTGCCTTA